TTCACTAGGAAAAATAATACAATAGATATCCGTATATTTGCAGATTCATTTTCTATGGTTGAATAACAATCGCACATTTCTGCAGTTTCAGGGATTTGTTGCTTATGATAATAGACACAAATTTATCGTCTGAAAGGCTTGTTTGACATGAACGCAAACCAGTAATATATCTCCCAGCGGGACTCTCTCGATCTCTACTTGATCAGCTCCTGTCACCGACACATCATCGACAGGTTTCACATCCCGGTCGAATGGCCGACGCCTTATCGGTGTGCTACTTATTGTCGCCGACTTTCTTCGCCGGTGTTCCATCTTTACTTTCGCCTTCGAACTTTTGGCTCCTACTCGAGTGTACTGCACCGAGACCGATTCGGATGGCGGTTCCCTGACTATCGCGATAGATCGCTTACTCGTGCGACTTCCGACCATAAAAAAGAAGCAAGTAACACCCAGCCGGAAATGAGGGAAACTTACGCGCGTGTAACGCTCGGCAAGAAAACAACGTTGTGCGATGTGAAATCTGTTTAGTCTCTGGAAGACAAGAGTAATCCATTTAATTACACATTAGTATTATCCTGTATTTTTCTTCTATTCGAAAATCGTCTCGTTTCGTTCAAACAAGATTTAAATTTTTGATTTGATTAATCTGAATGTCAATTAGCCTTATTAGCCTTGTCGTCAGTTCTTGTGACACATCGTGCGACCGCTGGGACAATGACATCGTATCGTCGCGAGGTCATTATCCTTGAATAGGATACACCTGAACGACAATGACTCGAGATGCGATTAGCACGGAGGACGATTACGAAATTAGTCGCACATGAGGCGCGATTGTACGCATTGTTCACACGACGTATGCTTTATGGTCTATAGTTGTGGTAGGCATAGGGAAGTATCGTGACATAACTAATTCTAACTTTCTCAAACGAGTTTTGTCAGCTTTCCTGCAGCATCTTATTTACTGCTTGTTATAGAAGAAGATATGATTATAACTATTTAAAGGATATATGTTTTTTAAAAATTCTGCTCTGAGATAATTATGCTTAATTTAGGTAAAGCAACAGCGTTTTTCTTATTTCGGGAATCTAAATATCTTTTGCACTTGATAAAATTTTTATTGCATAAGAATCGAGCTTTTGCATATTTTTCTCAAGAGAAATTCTTTCTGTCTTCGTGACAACATGAAACTTGCTTGCTAGACCAACAGCATAACGCGATTGTAATTAGTCGCGGCAAAATATAATTAAGAAGAACAGTGAAGATCGCAAATTTTTTCTAGTTTTATTTCGCACACAAGAACGGCACGCGATAGAAGTATTAAGAAGCCGGAGGCGTGGGGATTTCTTTTCTTTACTCGGTTACGTGCCACTTATTTAGTTCGGACTTTTGCTGCAAGGATTTCCGCCTACACTGACCTTTCAGAAGAACTATTTTGACGTCATACTCCATCGTGAAACTTCGAAAATACTTTCGTAACTTTGAAAGATTTATAACTTAAATTTGGACACTATAGTAATACGAGTCACATTAGAACATTTTTCTTTCTTTTACACACCGTTAAATGCTTAGAAAACCTTAATATTGTCAACATTTCTCAGAGAATCATGACATATGCCCGTTGTTACCAGTGTAGATTAATTTTAATCTCAGTTCAACTTACTCTTCATTTTTTCTAATTTTTTTTTAGAAAAAGAAGAAGAGTTTGTTGAACCAAGATTAAAATTAAACTTACATTAGTGGAAACTGGCAACATTGCGCTAAAGACTTGATCTGAAGTTAAATGTTTTTCTGCGAAGCACGTTAAAAATATCATATTAACGAAATAATATATAATAGCACTTACATATATTTTGGAAAAAAATAAATTTTTTATTAAAAATCATTCTGTGCAGCGTGGTTCACTTATTCTATAGCACTCGATCTAAAAATGAATTAGGACCTTTTCTCTTCTAACTTCTCTCTCAGAATCGCATGTAAATATTTAATTAATTAATGAGCGCATGTATGCATTCGTGTTATCATCAATTATAAGGATCAAGCATACGAACGTACTTGGTACACTGAATAACGTCATGCACAATGAATCAGAGGCAAAACATGAAATTTCCCCAATTTAGGAAGATAAATTTTGACCTAGTTACTTACAAATATGAGCACACTGTGTACTTTAATTCTATTTCTCTTTACAATACAAAACTAAAATTGTTAATTTTACATTTGTTATATAGTTATTACAAAATATTGAGTTTTTTAAAAAGTAATAAAGCTGTATACTGTTTTTAAAATATAGTCTCAGTTATTGCGTTTTGTTCTTACAAAAGGAACAAGTTAATTTAAATCGTTTTGTGTATAAAGACTTAAAAGTACAGAATTACTGAAATATTATTGTAAACATTAAAAAAAATGTATACATTTTAAAACAGAATTCTTTCTAAATACGTAATTAATGTCTCTATATTTCTTGTATTAAAAAAGTAATATGAATAATATTATAATTCTTACAAAAGGTAATTTTTGTCAAATTCGATTATCAGATTAGAACATATTTTTTCAAATCTTCCAAATCTTTTCAAATATATATGTATATATTTTTGAAGCTCTTTAAGTCTAAATATCAGATTATAAATAAATAATCCTAAAATAGAAGGGAAGTGTAAAATAGAACAGAATGTATAATCCAATAATCAGATGAGATGTTTTTGTTCGTCTGTATATAGATTGAACAAATTTCACACACTGCACGTGGTGGGTGCAAGTAGGCCACAAACTATATAACTCAGGCATTAAATCACGCAATCGGAGATTGAACTCATATTCAGATTTCACTCGAATATCCTGTCGAAATGGCCCGGGCGGGGAGAAAGGAGATATGCTTCCTCCATAGAAAATCGAATAATAGACAAAAGTCTCGGAATTATTCGCCGGCGGGAACGAAATGCGGGTCAGTGTGTGAACAGCTCTTCGCTCCTTATGTTGGAATTCAGGAGGTCACCGACCGTCTTTCTTTTTCTGTATCTTTCCTTATCACGTCGTCATTCATTCTCACCTTATTTTCCGACAAAGAAGAAATAGTTACGCACGAATTTTCTTCATTTTCGCGCAACACCCGCTGGTTATACATAGTTAATCGAAGTTATACAACTCTCTCTATATAACCGTGCCACCTCGAACGAGATTTCGATACTCGCAAAACGTGCTTGACGGAAGAAAGGCGTCGACGATCGTTATCGATATATGTATACAAAATGACATTTCGCGTAAGAACTCCTGCTACTTTCTCTTTCCATCTTTTTTCTTTCGTTTTGTATTATTTTGTAATAGATTCGGCGATCCTTAACATGTTCACGTCAAACATGTTATAGACGCCCACCATCCAACTTCGACATGTTTATTAAAACTTAACGCAGTTTATATATTTTTCTGCCATATTGTACGTGACCACTTATTTGATTTCGTAGTATACCGTAAATCTTTAATAAGATCTGTATTTAAGTATGAAGACCTGAATACAGACTATGTTCAGGATAACCGTAACGCAAAAAAAATAGTAAATTACATGCGCCTGATATGTCACGACCCAATTATAGCCGATTGAATGGAATATAAGTACTTATGTCTTCACATGCATAAAATTTTAATGAAGAGGGTAGAGTGATATTATTGATATTATCTACACGTTATCTACTGAAATTTTATTAAATACGTCAATAAGGAGACGGTTTTAGGTCTCGAATAATTAATATTTAATATCCGGTGGTATTCCTTAAGCTGGCTTAGGAGCTATAAATTATGTACTGTGAAATTTTACAGCATCGGCATACAGAGCGTAAGTTAGAAAGCGTAGTAATACGGGAGACGCATCGACACACTAGTCTATTTTACAATTATCTTGTTATTCGAGATAAAAGAATGCAATCGCAGATGTTTTGCATATTTCGGATTGCTTTCGTATATCCAAAGGAATACCGCATATATTTGAAATACTACACATGAAATACACATCGTTATTTTACAAGAATGGAATTACAGTTCTGAAAAATCTAGAAATAAAAAATATTTTATTACTTCTTCTTCAATATTTTCTTTAAAAAATATATAATTCTTTTCTTGATAAAATTGATAAATTAATTTTTAGAAAAGTTGTGACGGAATCATACGGGCTTGAAAAGAGATTGTGCTTTAGTATTACATTTTTTTAAATATTTAGATGTTTAATTAATATTAAATAATACACAGAGTAAACATTTTAAGTCATATGCGCACTGTATATGAAATGTGAAAAGATTATTTACTCTAATGAATATCAGGGTAAGATATTTTCACAGTTACACATTTTATTCTCTAAAGAGGTCGAACATTAACCAGAAACGTTACTTTCTATTGTTAATTATGCACATGTTCTGTTAATGGAAGTCTATAAATTTAGCAAACTAACCATGCAAATTAATACAGATGGGATTTTCTTTGTGCCAATTTTTCTTATAAAATTATGTAGTGATTTCTCTCTCTCTCTCTCTCTCTTTTACTATTGTATGCGGATATGATAAACGTATTAATAATGAACTTTTATTCTTTGACATCATACAAAATGAAAGAAATGATTACCATATTTATCAGATATTGTACTTTAGAAATTTCCTGTAAAACTGATTGTTTTTAATTTTCTATTTGTTAAGTTAATTACCAAATTATTATCTACCAACATACAAAATTCTTTTGTATGCACGTATAAAAATAAAAGATGCATTTTTCCTAAAATAACTTTCTAAACCTGATTAACAGTAGAAAGTAACATTCCTTCTTGATGTTTAATTTCCTTAATAATTTCCTTAAGAATGAAACGCTTAATTTTATACCAATTTAATATTTTTGAGATCTTCTATTATCCTCTATGTCAACTCCAGTCACAAATTATTTATATTAAAATTCACGCTTATGTAGAATGGAGGATTTTCAATCCTTGCGCACTACTGCAATCCTATCGAAATCCACGGACTCACCATTGTGCAGGGTGGCTGTATTTCCGCACTAGGTCACAGCACCACCCTCAACCTACTGTCGGTTCCTCTTTCTCCCTTTCTCTCGACACCTACGAACTTCACGCTACCTCTTTGTTTACTGATCGCGTACTCTGCACTCGTTCACATCGCATCACCGGCACACATGCCCCCCTGCCGTATCCCGATTTTATCGTAATTGAAACCCGATTCTCCCGTCACTTCGATCCGTCTCCGTTCGTCCCGCGAGCTCGGAGACCGTCCACGTATACGTTGTTTCGTCGACACGGTGGTACACTTGCGGTCTTAGGAACACGAGCAGTTTGAACGGGCTGTCCCAGAATGGACAGGCTATATAGATATCCCCTCCAGAAAATGACGGGGAACTTGCGGCCAGAAACCCGGGTACCACCAACATGATCCAGGAGAAAGCCTCTCCTTCGATTGGTCCCATAGTGTTGGTGCATGCTGAATATTACTTTGAGGGATGAGTTTTAGTCTCAAGGACTTGTGCTCAGAATTATTGTCCTTGCTATATATCAGAATTAATAAAAAAAAAACCGAGGTAAAATAATTAAAATTACTTTTTTTTAGCTTTGTCGAGAAGCAAGATTCTAATAAATGCTGTTATATTAATGAACGCTTTGTTATACTATAAAAATATATTGTAACAAAATTTTTTTTATATTATAGAAAATATTGACAAATTTTATTTTACATATAACTAGATGAATAAATTATACAATGTGGAGATATATTTGTAGAAATTTTTAGTAGTAATATCGAGACATCATTTATAAAAGCTGTATTGAGCATTATTTATAGATCTTCTCTTCGTATGAATGTATAAAAAAGATGAAAATCATCGCACGATTGGAATCAATTATTTTCCAATTGCGTCCCATGATATTAGCATGTAGTGCTCTGATTTCTTTTTGCAGCGATCTAGTTGCGCGTCATGTTCCAAACTTGAACTGTGATGTTTTATGCATCGGGAACATTGAATGTCCACATTGTAACGTATCGATCAAAAAATAATAGATTCTATAGGTGTGATAGATTTGATATTATCTTATCAATATTTCATTTATGTAGATAATTAAAATGCAAGTATTTTCTTTGGTATATATGACTGACATTCTTTATCATAATCATTTTACAAACTAATTAAATAAATAAGAATTTTATAATATATTTTTGAAACTTATAATAAAGTAAAATATAACAGATACAAAGTTAAATTAAAAAAAAACGCTTCTTTCTTCGGATATATTACCTAGTCTGTATGGGAGTGAAAAATAGACGGATATTGACATAAAATCTCAGAGTCTTAGCCTTCTCTGGTGAGTGTTTGTAAAGAACGTTAAAAGTAGACGTATAATACGTGTGTCGAACTTATCTTAGATCTTGGAAGAACAATTTAGTTTTATAAAATACGGATCTACAAATGTGTTTTACATTATATACAACAGATTCCAATTAAGTTATAGAATTTTGTCTCAATTTCTGTAGCGATCTATGGATTGTCTAGAATGGGCTTTATGATAGAGAGAGCTGCTCCGCTTCGACCGGAGCTCACAAGGCGAGCCGAAAGAAGTGAGAGGCGAACGGAGGTGTATGCGTGTTACTCGTTCTTATGCAATTTCTGATTGGAATCGTGGGTCACTCAGTTCGTCGACTCTTACGGAAATATGCGCCGGCCACGATCCTCTCGCCCGCAGGAAGGAACGAAGCGTCTGGGATTAGGAAACGCATCGACCATCAGCCGCGCCTGAAACATATCGTTGGTTCTTGTCGTGACCTGTACGCTGTTCTCAAGATGTTGCATCCGATGGAACTTCTGAATGGAAGACGATTTTTGTCGGAAGAAATACGCCCCAACTCTGCGGAATTTTCGCAATTCTCCGCGAACATAGATTTTGTCTCCTGACTTCGAATATTCGAGTTAAACTTGAATTGACTGATAGAAAACAGTTACTCGTAATTAATATTTTGTAGTATACATGTTTCTAGCAAATTTTTATAAACAAATTATTTTTCATATTTCTTATTATTTTTTACGCTATATTATATTAAATTTCAAAAGAATTAGCCATAGGATTATTAAAATTAATATAGTGATTTGTGAGAAAAGCTTAGTTTCCGAATATAAAAATTGAAAATTCTCTTTAATTTTGTGACTTGACAAAATTTCAAGATTTGACAATTTAACAAATAAAGTTTTACATTATAATATTTAAAACCGAAAAATCAACAGAAGCTAAAACATTATAATTCTAAGTATAGTTACATTCTAAACAGTGTAGAATTTTTTGTTTTATAAAATTTTCGAATCAGGGATTTATTTAGCTGCTAAAAATATATTTTCGTCAATTTCTGTGAAGAATTTCATTCTAAAAAACGTATTCTTCTTAATAACGAGAGATGAGGACGGGTAAGAATAAGATGGCTTAGAATAAGACGAATCTATGGAAGGACGAGGCAAATCCCTGCATTGAATGCCCGGATATACGGGGTGCTGATGATTGCATGCCTTCAACATTCACACGGCTTCATAGACGCCGGACATGTTTCATGGCTCATGCTGTCCTGCATAGATGAAAAATACGAGTTACAAGTAAATTAATGACCTGGCAAATAGATCTCCATTAGATGTACTACACTGCACAACCTATTCTTTGCAATGAGTGTAGAATAATCTGACAAGCTTGATACGTTTACAGCTTATTATAATAAGAGATTGTGAATATATTTAAAATAAACTTTTAAATTTAATACTATTTTAATAAAACTTTTATGTATATACAGACGCGTATAGAAATTTTTTATAGTAATTATTTATTAGGTCCACAATATATTATATTTTTTTTACATAAAAATGACAATCCTAAGAATATTGATATTTTTTATCCTCGTCATAAAATAATCTACTACATAATTTTGATCTTCATAGATATCTAAATTTAATCAAACACTTTTCTAAGGCAACGCTTAAATTGCATGGTATAATTTTACACGCAAGGACATATGACGTTCCTCTTCAATCGTTCGGAGCCTCTTATTGATTGGCACTCGACCAATGTTCTGTGGGTGCGTAAAGTAAGCAAATAGTCGTTGAAACGAGGGTGAAAGCGAGAGAAATTCGCGACTCGTCCTATTGAATCTATTGTCGCAAATAAGAGCACTTGGAAATCTTTACATCGCGTCATTGTTCCCGAAAGTGGACGTTAATCAATTTGCATAATCGTTCTTGTGAGTAACCTTGGAACACGAGCTACAAATCTGTATAGTGATTGGAAAAACATAATTTCTCCTTGCCGTAGAAAGTATTCATATCTGCCGATAATGTAAGCCGTGAAAGTAAAGTATGCGTTAGTATATTGATTCTATTATATCCGTTATAGAATCAAAAAAGAGTTAATGATAAAGCTAAGCTTTTTTTCTTGATAGTCGGAAAATGATTAGTAATCAGGCGAAAAGAGAGAAAGAGAAAAAGAAATCAGATAAACCTTCAAATATTATAACTATTATTAGTTTGAAAATAATAGTCGCGTTATTTCACAGTATAGGTAACTTAATTTAATGAACATTTAAATGAGAACGTACGATAGATAGAACTAGATTTCCATGGACGATATAATATATGTGTTACTTTCATGAATTTATCTAACCTGTTCTTTGTTATGCCACTTTGTTCTGTAAAAGTGGCATAAATATGTGACATAAACGTCTTTATTTTAATTTAATTTTAGACTTAAAGACTTTAATATCCGTTTAATAAATTTCAATATGCACAGTTTTAGTTGTAAGTAAAATTATACGTAAGATTATAAATGTTGCTTTTATAGGACTCTCTAAACGAATTCATGAAAGTACCTTTATGGGCATTCTATACAGTTTATTCTCACTTATTTAGACCTTCGCTTTTCCTTTCACTGACACTGTTGCGATTTGTAAAACTTAGCGCCAGCCTATGCAAGATTTTCCGTGCGTATATTTGTCATAGACTTTTCGCGAAACGTGGTATTTTACGAAGATTCCAGCTATTTCTCTTCTCTTGAAATGTCGGCAGAGATGTAATCAAAATCTTTATAAAATGCCACAGGGCAAATCCATGAAATGTACGCGTTACTATAAGAAGACATTACCGTAATTTGTACAATGATTGGCGTTTCTGAGAAAACAATTTCGCAAAAAGTTTCTCTCATCTGTCTGCTTGACAAACGAAATAAGCGACATCTTGTAAACGGTTCTAATCAGGATTATCCTTGAATATATTGTAAATTATCTTGTAGTGTGTCGTAAAAGGTATTATGTCCTCTTTGCGTAAAATAAATTCTCCGTAGTAAAGAATTATTGTAGTGGGATTTCCATGCCTTGAGCAGTCGGCCAAATGAATTTTCATTTGGCAAAAGTTGGCCCGAACACACGGGAGAGTCTTAGAAAAGCGAGATTGCTGTCACGAGTGACATTAATTTGACTAATTGATAGCGGAGACAATGAGATTTTATCCCGCTGTCTTAGGAATCGCCGCAGGTGAAAGCGACCCGCCCGTGAAATAAAATTCCTACCTCGTGGCCGTCCCTCTCATCACGCGCCTCTCCTGTGCAATTATCTTAATAATCTGCCGCCGTATCACTGCGGTTCCACCATCTCTCAAGCATCCTTTCCTTTTGTCCCGCGGTCACAGCGACGGATATTGTGGCGGCTCAATTTACAGTGATTTGACTTCGTTTGCTTCTTGCAAAAGGATTACGCGGACGGAGAATGTCTCTCCAGCTGATTTGATTATCTCGCGATGATATCTCATAATTTGCAGCTAGCGAAATAACGCGATAAACGGCGAATAGATGCCATGGTTAGTTTTGTTCTAATTACTAGATTGTGCGGTTGAGCAGTAATAATACTGTAGATGAATATAATTAATTTTAATGATGATCAAATTGAAAGCAATGTAAAGTATATATTTTAACAAGGCCAAACTTTGTTTAATTAAAAAATACGATTGGAAATTCTACATTGTTGTCTGTAAAATAATAATAATCAAAGTTATTATAAAGTGACAGTTATAATGTGGAAGTTTAGAGAGATAATTTAGCGTTTATAGTTAGCGTTTATAAACTTTATAGTTAGCGTTTATAGAATAATAGCGTTTATAGTTAGCGTTATAGTTAAAATATTAACTGCAATTACGTTATATAAATAGTTTTAATATAAGTGCTAATAGCTCGCAATTAAAATATTTTTGATAAATCAAGATTAAATTAATGTACTTGCTCTAAACAAAAAGTAAGTCGAGTATAAAAAAA